AGCATCATGCCACTTGTTGCGCCTGCGATCAGGTCGTTGAATCGGCTAACCACATCATCCTGGGCTGTCCATTTGCGAAGGAGGTTTGGCACCTGATGGCCAATCAGTTCAGTAATGCTGCGACGGCTGCGCTCCAATCCTCCTCTATCAACACCTGGTGGGATAAGACGTTCAAACTAAAGAAAAAAGGAGTAGTGCTGGATGAGTGTACGGGGGCTGTGTACGTGGCTTCGAACCTATGAAACGAGCGCAACAGGCGGATCTTTCAGAATCAACGGCGCTCTGCAGCGGGGGTATGTTCTTTGATTAGGGATGAATTAGGCCTCCTGAAGGAGGCATGGGAGTAGTACCTTGTGTTCTCGCCAGGATGCATGTCGCATCTCTGACTTAATGTTTTGCTTCCTCGGCTGATTCTTCAGTCCGTTGTACAGTTTTCCCTCGATTAATGAAAAGGCAGAGCACCTGCCATTACGGTAAAAAAAAATCTGAAAGTGTACACTATCCAACTTGTATTAACGTGTAACAAAGCGAGGATGGAAACAAAGTAAACATAATCAATTTTAGTTATAACAATTCAACCGAATGTGCAATATACTAACAAAAATTCTAAGGATAATTATATACTCCCTCCGTTCCTAAATATTTGCCTTTTTAGAGATTTTAACAAGTGACTACATACGAAGTAAAGTGAGTGAATCTACACTCTAAAATATGTCTACATACATCCGTATGTTGTAACCATTTCAAATGCCTAGAAAGACAAATATTTGGGAACGGAGGAAGTACATGACTAGATCCTCCTAACATGGCAATGCGCATCAATTATTATGTGTCTTTGCAATTGGCCAGGTTTGAACTAAATATATTCAATATTTAAATAGATGTTCAGGCAAGAGTGATCCAGATCTAAGTCAAATAAATTGCCTTAGTAAATAAAAGTAATAAACATCAATCCCATTATTCTGGACCTGATTTTAAGAATAGTCTACATATGAAGGAAGCAAAGAGTAATTCCACAAATGAGAGTGTATACGACAATGGCCTGGAGTAGCACCGGCCGAACCTGTTATAGTTATTTCGGAAGCGAATCGAGACTGTCATAATATGTCAGGAACCTGCATTGCACATGTATTTCCTGTTTAGATCACAAGAGTTCACTATATATACAACTAGCAAAACGAATGGCAAGTGTTAAAAAAGAGGTCATTTACATGTATTGACATCTCTGCAATGATGAATCCAAAGGTTTCTTCCAGAGAGTACTTCAGAAGAGCTGCTTTGAACTTTCTATCTTTTTCGTGGGTGTACATTAGGTAGTTCCATACGTTCCTAACAAGTATCAATGGGAAAGACATTGGTGCTCATATTTTTTTTGAATTTATTTTGGCGATGTCAGTTCAGTAGAAGGACACGTTTTCTCTCAACTGCAAGACGTATGCAGTGAATTCGTCAATCTCAAGTTGTGATGCCGGATAAGTATAAGCAGAACCTGCGTGCGTGCGTTCATTGAATGTTTGTGTATGTGGGCATCTATTTTACTATGTTTTTAATAATAAATGAAATAAGGATGAATGCAAATCTTTCTTTCGTTACCAATAAGAAAAAGAATAAATAGCATCTAGATGAGACTTAACCAAGTCACATCTAACTCCACCAGTTCATTTTTATAAAGATTCGTGCAGGTTTATTGTTTTTATTTCTTGTTTGATTACTGAAATGATGTGTAGGAGTTAGATGAGACTTTGTTATTTCTCATCTAGATGAGATTTAGCCCCCACCTCGTCGTCACCACCGCCGTCGATCTTCCCCTTCCCTGACTCCCTCCGTCCAATCTTACAAGTACGCGGGCGTGCGGGGACGGCCGCTGACGACCTGACCTCACCTCACCCGATGGATCCCGCCCACTTCAGCTGTCCCTCTTCTCTTCCGGCCGAGCACACGCCGCCCCGCACGGCGGCTGTTCGACGGAATGTCGCAGCGTACCCTCTCTCTCTCCGAGAGCTCCATTCGTATTGGATCCAGCTTCTTCTCCGTCAGCGGCTGCATCCTAGACCTCACACGCCGCGCACGGCAGCTGTTCGTCGGGATGTCGCAGTGGATCCTCTCTCTCCAATAGCTCCATTTGGGTTGGATTCAGCTTCTCCTCCTCCTCCGGCTGCATCCAAGGCCACTATATGCATGCTCCGTCCGTCCTCACACTCACACTCACACAGCAATACTCGTCCCTAATCTCCCTCCTCCTGTCATCCGGTTCAATCCAGCCCGTCTTCAGGCTAACATTTTTTTTCCTCTTCCGTTGCCAGGAATTCCACCTACGGATCAGATGAGGTGTTCGCTGGAAAATCGATTCAGGTCTGCAGTTGGAGGGCGAACAATTTTGCACTTGTGGAAAAGCAGGTTCACTCACCGCCACAGCCTCAGAACAAACAAAAACAGTCTACAGTTCAGACAAATTAAAGGTGAGCGAGGCGTCCTCTCTCATTAGTTTACACCTGCCTGCCTTAATACGCTACAAACCCCATGTGACAGCGTGCATGCTAGTGGCACATTTGGACAAAGTGTCCACTGATCGATGAGTTTCTTAGTCAGGACCTCGATCCATTCCCAGCTCTTCTCATAGCTAGCTACGTACAGCCAAGATGATGCCATTTTACAGTGTGTCAGTGTCTTATCACGTTCAGACCTGCAGACTCGCTGGATTAATTGCTAGGACCTCGATCAACCCCCAGGTCTTCTCAGAGCTACGTCTGGGTTACCAATTAATTTGTGACTCGCCAGTTGATCAAGAGCTGGTTGATGACAGCTCATGTCGACACATGGTCTGGATGCTTGTTGTTCGAGCAAAGGTGAGGTATCCTCCCTCATTTTTAATCCCATGGTTATGCTCTTTTCATCTGTGATGAAGCCATGACTGTACATCTATCCCATACTAATTACCTTCTACTTCTGGGCTATTGTTTACCAATACATGCTCACAATATTATAATTGCTTTTAACATAATGTTAATTAATTCTTGGCTAGTGCCATATTTGAATCTCTTATTCCACGTCAAATTCTTGGGGTGTATTACAACTGTGTTTGCACATCAAGCTTTTCTAAAATGAAAAGACATATGCATGGTAACTAATGCACACAAAGAATCTGGTATATACTCTAGAAAATAACTACAAACAGCAGCTTCTTCAAATGATGAATCTTAAGCTCCTCCTTGATGTACGTTTCATATGTATGTTTGCAGTCAAAATCTTGTCATGTTTACAATCTGGGACATATCGTTCCTAGCCATATATACAGCCTGTCAGAGCACATAATGCTGATATTTAATCTTAATTGGGGTTGTTGTACAATGCACATCTGCAATCAGAAAAGAAAAATGGACAATCACAGTTGAGACCTGGCCGAGACATGGTTGTGGGTTCAGCTATGCCAATGCCTTACCCTGCGGGGTTAATGTATATAAAAGTCAACTCATTTTGGTGATGGCAGCATTGGGCATTAGCCCATCACATTCAGAGCAGCAAAATAATTCATAGTAGAATATACAGAAGTAGTACGCGTTGTGGGTAACTCTGGTGTTCAGTTCTGTAAGCCATCGGGTAGATTAATTAGGTAGCTGACTTTAAGTTCTATAGCCATGCTTTAGCTAATTCAGGTTTTCAACCCGGTTTCCCTTATAAACTGGATCATTCTCCTGGCATAATGACCACTTTGAGTAATATATTCAGGTGGAGGGACTCCTCCCCCGGTGTTTCTCAAAAAATAAAATAAAATAAATGCTTTAGCTAATTCAAAAATTGCCAGCTAATTAGAAGCAATGCATCTGCAGACAGAAAAAAGGACATGCTGTGTCATACTCAATTCAGACCTGTCTGTCAGCTATCATTCAAAGTAAACAGATGCATGAGTTGTGGGTAAAGCTATGCCTAGAACTGATCCTTGGGATTAATAGGCACACAAAAGTCAGACTTAATTTGGTGATGCCAGCAGTGAGGGCCATCGCATTCAGAGCAGGCTGGTAGGGAATTAAGAACCGCTATGCGTTGTGGGAATGGATGCTCAAATGTTTAAGCCGTCCGATAATTTTTTTAATTAGCTCTCTTTCAGTTGTGAAGCCATGATTTGGCGGTATCGTAGATGAGGCACGATGCTGGCATGAGCCTGGCTTCAGGCAACTTGACCGCATCTTCAAGCCACCTTGAACCACTCTCTAAGCTGATTTTAAAATCCGCTGCCAGCGTCGATCTCTGTAATGACAGTTTACCTAAATTTTTTACTCCATCGACGGAAACTGAAAACAGCATTCGGCTGCATTTCGTCCAAAAAAAGCTAGTCGAAATTTGCTCACTATTTCAACAGTATCCTCCCTCATTTTAAACTGTGGTTAGGTTATGCTCTTTCAGTTGTAAAAAACCCATGATTTTTCAATCCCTGCTAATTATGTGTACCCCCGGCTCAGCTGGTAGACTATAGGTTGCAAACTTGTCGCGACACCACGTACTAGTGGCTAGTTCCTTGTTCGGTTATGTGAACGGAGGCTCCATCGATTGGTAATCAAATCATCGAGTTTCTTAATAATGACCTCAATCGATTGCCAAGTCCCACTTAATAATGTGTATCACTTTCAGATCTGTAGCTGCAGCTCCTAATTAGTTAGTAGGACGTCATCTATCCCCAAGTCTTCTCACAGCTATGTCTAGTTTAACAGTTAAATAATCAGGTTGCTTGATTCAGATCTGCAGTCACATCTGTCCAATTTTATTTTAGGTTTTGCTTTGGACATTGCAACCAAGCTCGCCTATCAAGCCACCATCTGCTGCCTGCTCTTCAATTTAGACTAGGAAGAAGCATTTGCCCCCTTCACAATCCACTCATAGTCGGGAGATAGCAAAGCAATGGAAGTAACGGCGGTGAGCGTCGGCAAGGCCGTGCTGAATGGAGCACTGGGCTACGCCAGCTCGGCGTCGAGCGCGATGTGACCTTTATCACGGATGAACTGCAGATGATGCAGTCATTCCTGATGACGGCTGACGAGGAGCAAGGCCAACACAAGGTACTCATTACCTGGGTGCAGCAGGTCCGCGACCTGGCCTACAAGGTGGAGGACAGCCTCATGGATTTCGGCCTCCACGCAGAGAAGAAGCCGATCTGGGGGTGCATCCCCTGTGACCTATGTGATCGACGCCGCATCGCCATTGAAGTGAAGGAGCTAAGGGCAAAGGTGGAGGACGTCAGCAGCAGAAACCTGCGGTACCGCCTCATCAAGGAAGGTTCATCCGGCTCCAAGCCTGCTGCTGCTGCTGCAGAAGAGCAGGCCAGCCTTGCCAGCGCGGAAATGTTTGGCATCAATGAAGCAAGGCTTGCCGCCGTAGAGGAGGGGAAACCCATGGTGGATCTCGGTCAGCTGGTCACCAGCGGAGAGGAGAAGCTTGGCATGATCGCGGTGTGGGGAACTGGCGGTGATCTTGGCAAGGCAAACGAGATCAGGAAGGTCTATGATAGCAAACAAGTGTTTGACGAGTTTGGATGCCGTGCTTGGGTTAGGCTGATGCATCCTTTCGACCCGAAAGATTTCCTTCACAGCCTTGTAAGGCAGTTCTATGAAAATTCTCCAAAGGAAATTGAAAAGGCACAAGAAGGGACAACTGTAGGGGTTAACGTCCTGATGAAGATGGAGAGCATGGGACAAGGTGACTTGTTTCGTGTGTTTAATGCACATGTTACTGAAAACCGGTACCTTGTTGTGATTGATGATTTATCCACTATTGTCGAATGGGATTGCATCAAAAGTTTCTTCCCAAGAAACAAGAGAGGCAGCAGAATCATATTGTCAACACGCCAAGCAGAAATTGCAAGTTTGTGCCCGGACCAACCCCTCCGAGTAACAGCGCTTAAGCAGCTGTCATCAGATCAGGCACTTTATCTGTTCCACCAGGAGGTAATACTTCATCAAGTGACCAGTGTACACACTTTTTATCAGTGCATGTTTTGTGAAAATCGTTGCTTGTTTAGCAGCTTAATGATCCTCATAAATTAGACATCTGTATGTTTAGGTGAGCATATGAATCCTAAAGGTGCTTAGAAGAGACTAAAAGATAGCGAAGTCGTTTGAAGCCAGTGGTACTAAACGTTAGGATAGTTGTAGATGCTAAAGTCTATAAGCTTGGTACCAACACTATGGAAACCTCAGTCATCAATCTCAAAGGAAGCCTCACTAGTATATTGCAGTTTGTCCTAAATCTAAATTTTTTAGAGCGCACATATATAAATATTCTTATAGATCTGCTTTATTTGTAGGTTATTCCTGCACCAGTTGTTGCAGAGACCGGGTCAGGCACGGCAAAAGTTATCACTACTAAAGACAACCTATCAAAGTCCACAAGTGAAATAGAGGTGGAAAATCAATGGCCGATGTGTACTGGTGGAGATACAGTTAATAATTCTACTCCTGTAAAGAAGCTTGATCGCAGTATCACAAAGATACTGGTTGAGGAGTTGTTCACTGGGAGGGAAGCAGAGCAAGATCATGTTATCAATTTAGTTGGTAAACCAGAAAACAATCAAGAATCTAAGGTGATCTCAGTGTGGGGAATGGGAGGTCTTGGGAAGACCACTCTTGTTCGGAGCGCCTACCGAAACCAACAGCTTGGTGGCTGGAAGCGTGCTTGGGTCACTGCATTGCGCCCATTCGACTCTAAAGTGCTCATCAGAAATTTAGCTTTGCAACTACTGAGTGATGTCCAAGAAGATCCTACTGAAGCAACAGCAACTGGAGAAGAAAAGAAGAAGATAGCAACAATGGGACTTCAAGAGCTGGTTGAAGAATTAAATCTCCATCTCAAAAATAAAAGGTGCCTCATTGTTCTTGATGATATATCAACCACTGCAGAATGGGATTTGGTCAGTAGTTGCTTGAAAAATGCTGGAATAGTCATAGTGACCACAAGGGAGAAAAAAGTTGCCAAACATTGTTCAGGAGAAGACAACATGTATCGTCTTGAAGGTCTGAAAGATGCTGCTGCACTTGATCTCTTAAAAAAGAAGGTACTTTTACCTAATCTCATATCTTTTCTTTCTGTTTGGATGAGTCTTTTTTAGGGTATTCTTTTGCATGAGTTTGCCATCAGACAATAGTATTCAGAGTTTTATAACGTGTCCCAAACACATTTCTGATCATTCGTTTGTCTTTTGCATCGAGACATAAGATATGTGATTACTGACTTACGCTCCATACCTCCATTTTGCATCATATTACTGAGTGGTTGGCTACCTGCTTATATTTTAATCAATAAGCAAATGCACATGCGCTTTTATTGTCGAAGAAATAAGGTGAAATGTGAGAGGACAACCATGGTCAATAGGTGTTATCTGCATTCAAATGTGTTGATAAATAATACCATGCAATAGACTGTCTTCTCTACAGTGCATATTTTTTTGTCAAACAATTATTATTTAATCCAAGTACTTAACAAATATTAAATTATATCTATGTTAGGTGTTTAAGGACAAGGCAGGAAAGGTTAATTTGGCCCTTGATATGGAGGAACAAGCAAAACTTATCTTAAAGAAATGTGGTGGACTTCCCCTTGCAATATCAACTATAGGTGGATTCCTAGCCACTAAGCCTAAGACTGCTGTTGAATGGAGGAAGATGCACGGCCGTATTAGTGCTGAGTTGGAGATCAACCCAGAGCTTAGGACTATAAAGACAGTCCTTATGAGGAGTTATGATGGCTTACCCTACCACCTCAAGTCATGTTTCTTATACATGTCCATATTCCCAGAAGACTACATCATTAAGCGCAAACGTTTGGTGAGGCGATGGATTGCAGAGGGCTATTGCAAGGAGATGCATGGCATGACAGCAGAAGAAGTTGGTGACACTTACTTTGATGAGCTTTTAGAGAGGAGTATGATTCTTCCACGGGAAGGTATAAACCATCATAGTGGGAAAATTGATTCTTGTCAGCTTCATGATATCATTCGTGAAATATGCATCTCCAAGGCCAGGGAGGAGAACCTTGTTTTTACACTTGAGGAAGGATGTTGTTTTAGCAGTTCACAAGGTCCAATACGGCATATTGCCATTAGCAGCAATTGGAAAAGAGATAAAGATGTGTTTGATATGCTGGACTTGTCGCATGTGAGATCACTGACTGTGTATGGAGAGTGGAGACCGTATTTCATCTCTAAGAAGATGAGGTTCCTCCGAGTGCTCGATTTGGAGGACACATCAAGGTTCATAAATCACCATCTTGATGAAATTGGGCAGCTCCATCACCTCAGATATCTCTCTATACGAAATTGTGTTTATATTTGGTACCTTCCTAATTCAATTGGGAATTTGAGCCACCTCCAAACACTGGATATCAAAGGCACACATATATTAGAACTGCCAACAACTATCACCAAGCTTCACAAGCTACAACACCTCCATGCAGATGGTTATTCTATTGGCACAGAAAAGGAGTATGACATTCTCTCTTCACAATATTATTCGATACGTAGTGCATCTCCCCAGTACACGTCACCGTTCGGGCGCTATAGAGGAAAGACATGTAGCTGCAGATATTTGCAATCACAGAGAACCATGTGTCGGCTCCGGGTTATCCTTTTGCTGATTCTAGTCAAATTGTTTTGGAGTGCACAACTTTCAGAACTTGGTTTGAACATGCACGATATATTCAACCTGCAGCACTATCTCTGGGTGTGTTTAGACAGTTTACATGTGGATGGTGTTAAAGCTCCAAGTAGGACAGGAAAATTGACGTCCATGCAAACACTGGGTGTTGTCAATGTTTCAAGGGGGGAGGAAAAGGTCCTAAAGGAGTTCAGTGCACTTACCCAGCTACGTAAGCTTCATGTGACTGGTATCAGCAAGGGAAACCAGAAGAAATTTTGGTCTGCCATTGCTGCTCACAACCAACTTCGTTCTTTGACAGTGCATGGCGATGAGGCTATTATAGCTGGTTTTGGGGACAGTGATGATATTCTAGATGGTTGTTTGGGCGCGGATTTGTTGCCACCAAAACACCTTGAGAGCCTCAAGTTGGTCGGGCCCCTAGGCAAAGTGCCAGATTGGATGCATCACCTACGGAGTCTATCAAAGTTGGACCTAAAGGCCAGCGGGCTGAAGGAAGCTGTTGACATACAAACCGTCGGGGGTTTACCAAACCTTACAGTTTTACGACTAAGGGGAGGAACAATTGTCATGGATGATCTGCAGTTCCTCAGCTCATCTTTTCCGGGCCTGCTGGTGCTCGAGATTTACGTCCAACTTTTGAGTTTTGGAAAGGACGCAATGCCTAAGCTCGAGCTGCTACAAACTAATAGATACGTGAAGATGAAGGGGCTACAATTTCTCACGAACCTCAAGGAAATTCGGATGGATGGTGAAGGCATCTATAAGATGAAGATACAGTTAGAGAAGCAGTATGCGGAGCATCCAAATCTCAAGAACATCAGCTTGAAGCTGATTAGCTGATGTATTCTGGCTGTGTTGCTCATGTCCTTCTTGCTTGGGCCCTCTCTTTGTAGCCTTATTTGCCTTAATTACCCTTCTTCTCCTTGTAATATGTTGCTTGGATTCCTCGATGTGTGCCGTTCATGTCTGCATCTCTGGCTGGTTATGTGTATCTGTGTGCTTGGTTATGTGTACCCTCTAAACTTGAGTAACTCCGTCCATCCATCCATTTGTATCCTGATGATATTTCAGATTCTGACATGGTACCCAATTTGTATCATTGGCTGTTAATTTTTGTACCGCATTGTCATCTGGACATGTTGCGAGACATTGATAAAGTGCTTCCGAGAATGTGTCTTGTAATAGGTCATGCAATTTTTTGCCATGATGGTACAGTTTTGGTGGACTCGCGTGACAATATGATAAACACAGAAGAGCAACGTACTTGACTTGATGATGCGGTGGAATATGGAGAGGTAGAAGTTAGTAAGAACAGAGGAAGGCAACGAGGTTCTCCTGGAGAAGCAGCTGACCTCTTTTGGTAGTGTGCGTGGCTCAATCACAGGAAGCAGAGGTAGGCAAGTGACAGGGCACCAAGGGTCTGCCTTACTGGACTGATTCAGACAAGCCAAACCGGGCAAGAGTTATTCAACTTGTGAGGTGCTCTGTTTGCTCTTTTTTCAAACTGAAAAAAGATCCTGTCTACGAACCTCGCATACAAACCAATATTTTAAATAGCGCGCTACAAAATATAGCGAGACCCTTCTCTAAATGCTACACAAGTTATAGCGTGCTAATAGCGTGCTATATTTCAAAATAGCCTTTGCAAAAAAAATCAAATATATTTAGAAATAAAGTATTTAAGCAACTAAATTTTTCATAGGAGCAAGCAATATATGCATCTGATAAAAGGAGTGAGAAAGCTAGTGGGAGAATCTGATAAAAGGAGTGAGAAAGCTAGTGGTCATGGATTGGTTTTGGCCTGCTGGGCTGTGCTTATTTCAGTTTTGCATAGTCTGGACGTTGTAACGTTACAATGTTTTTTTTTTCGAAAAGGAGGAATACCCCCGGCCTCTGCATCTGGACGATGCATACGGCCACTTTATTAATTATTAGCACAAAACCTTACAAAGTCGTACAACAGTAAGACCAAAGCCACCATCTTCGCAACCTCTGTCGCTACTCCTATCTAACTGATGAAGGGGCGCTGATGGTCTGGGCCTAATACCAAACAGACCTCGCAGCCAAACCTAACATCTAAGACCTAAGGTCCCAACCTGGACGCCTGCCGGGTATGGGCACCCACCAGTCCGGCGTGCTCCTCAACCAAGCCGCCCGCCGGGTATGAGGCCGCCACAACCACCTACCACATATCCAACTTCAGAGCTGTACTGTTGTAACTGCCTTGCTCGGTCTCGCTGCCGCCGACGCCACCACGACGCCAGACAGCGTCGACCTCCTGCGCGTGTCCGTCAGCACACATCTGACGCCAGGCCTCCGCTGCTCCATGCCGCCAAGAGCCGCCGCCAAGAATATGTAGAACGAAACACCGCTCCACCAAAGGGAGGCAGCACACCCCCACCCCTCACCTGCAGACCCTTCCATCCGATCCCAATGTCCTTGGCGTCGCCTCCAGGAAGGTTACGGTGCCTAGGGCGCCGCCGACGCTCAATCCGCATCGGATCTTGGGCTTTCACCCGGACATGGGTTGGAGAGGAGAGATGGTGCCCTCAGCAACGCCCCCAAGGAGGAAAGCGGCGCCAAAAATCGGCGTCGCCGCTGCCGGTCAGCCTAAGGCAGCCAAGGTTTCCCCCGGACACCGATCTGCTCCACCAGAACACACCGGAGGTGGATCCGGCAGGATCCAAATCGACCCGGGGACTGGGAAGGGATGCATGGAAGGGAGAGAGGCAATACCTCCAGATCTGGCACGCCTACGGCTCGCCGTCCTCACGGCCGAACCCACAGGCACGCCGCACGCCACCAGATGCGCCGCACCAGATCGAAGATGGCCAGCCTTAGCGCCGCCCCCCACTCTCACGACGAGGGAGAGGAGGAACCAGCGCCG